AGTGGGATAAATTATGAACAGGAGGAGGAGGAGGAGTGGGAATGTGTATTCCCAGTTTGGTTTAAGAGGAATTCAGACTGTAACATGGCCTTTAGCTGTTGCCTTTGATTGACTAATCAGGATAATATATCTCTGGCCTGTGGCAAATAGTGGCATTTAATTATTTCGTATTTAGTATATCTTGTCCTTCTGGGGAGCAGATATGGATTTCAGCTCCTGGATAGAAACCTGTGGGGCCCAGCAGCAAAGCTTTTGGGGTGGGGAAAGCACATTGAACCGAGGCAAAGTGTGCAAGACACATCTTCAAATAAAACTGCTGTACGAAAGATATTTTATTTTGACAGTCACTAAAGATTACTTCACTGCTGTCCTTCAGAAAGCTGTAATTCCCATGAATCTAGAAGATGGCCAGATCCTAAAGGGGGGATGCTGTAAATGGATGGGAGAAAATTACTGCACATTCTCTGACAATAGGACCATTTACTATGATTTCATTGCTAAAATGGGGTGGGGGAAGTTTTGTAAAACTCTTAATATCTACCTTGTGAAGTGTCCCCTGTTGGGATATTTTCAGGAAGGAGGTTATTATATGTCTACAATTATTCTGAAATTTGTATTGCATGCTACTTGAGAAAAAAATCCTGCATTGTTATGTTAAACATTTACAAGGTACCTGATTTTTATTAAACACTGTACAAAGATGGCCTCTACCCCTGAACATACTTAAACTGCTTTTAGAATTTTAGCAGAGCTGAAATTCTTCATAAACAAATAATCTATTTCTGAACAGGAAGAGGCACAACTCCCCACTAATGGCCATTTTATTCTGCCTGATCATGCTGAATCTTCAGCAGGTTTTCGGGGAGTGGGGCTGCTCGTTTGTTTTCCCCCTCAATATTAAATTCCTGCAAATTCAACAAAATCTATTTCCATGCAAGGCAGCTATCTTGTGACTCATTAGCTTGTTGAATGAAGAGAAGAGCAGCTGCTTTTTTTCTGGATAATGGATGTATCTAGCCTGCCAGGGCTTGGTCCACGGATGTCTGAAATGTGCTAACTTTAGCTGGTATAATGTCAGTGTAATCCTATATAGGTCTGTTTAGAAATATTTCTTACTGAATTAACTGGCTTACTCACAACTGAATGTATGTACTTGCACTCAAGTAGAGAGAATGAGACAAATTCTCTTCTGCACACTGATACATTTGTATTGGATTGTTGCCAACAGCCTGGACTAGTGGAGACCAGAAACATTTGAAATTTCTGACATATGTACATTCAGTGGTATATGTGGAAGGGTTCAAAAAAGTCAAGATGGAGGTTTCAGCAGCAGCAGCATCAAAGCCTCACCCTGTGCAGCATTAGTACATGCCCCCAAAGTGCAGGGGTTTAATCATATTGCCACAACCACCATCTTGACTTTTTTGACTCCCCCCACACCATTGTGTAGATTACTTTTGCTATGATTACTGCTATGTTCACCCTCTAGTTTGTTAATGCACTAGAACAGTGTTTCTTGATCTTGGCAACTTCAGGCTGTGTGAACTTCAACTCCCAGAATTCCCCAGCCAGCATTCCTGGGGAATTCCTGATGACTGCAAGGATTCAACCACAAAGTTTTCTAAACAAAAATGTGGAAGGAGCCTTTCCCAGCCCAGGCTATAATTCTGGACTTTTCTCATGGTCTCCTATCCAAGTATTAAGCATGTTTAGCTTTGAGATCAGCTAAGTATTTCTAGAGTATGTATTGTTCCAAAAGATTGGGGCAGGGGGTGTAGTGGGAAGGGGAGTGAATTATTTGTTTGATCTGAGCTTCTGTGTAGAAGCTCAAATCAAACGCATGGAAAGAAGAATGCTTGCGAGCCACCTACTCCAGCTTGTACATTCCGGCATGCTGTCCCCAACAGCAGCCTTTTAACTGTACTCTCACTTCAGAGGGATTGTCTCTCCCCGCCTGTCATCCCCACTCCACACACTTTAAGCCTTCAAGGAATAGCCAGGCTTTCTGTTTGGTTCATGCCAGCTGCAAAGGTTGCCATGGAAATCCAGCAAGCTCATCTATTTCCTTGTTGAGCCCAAGCCACTGTCCACCAAAGACAGATGGAAATGATGAAAGATTAGAAGAAAGACAAGTTGAAACGTTCCACCAGAATATGATTTCAGAGTGTAACAGAATTAGAATCGAAGATCCCATTGGATATACCCTATCTCTCTGCCTCCATGCTGAGTTTTGCTCATGCAAAGGAATACCCTTTGAGAGAAAGGCAAAAAGTGGAAATTGTCATTAGCCGCACTTCAGAGGATCTGACTTAATTTTTTCAAAGGATGCTTCAAGAAAACATTGTTCATTTACTCAATCTCAGTTGTGTACATATAGTACAAAAAGGCAGTTCACTGCCTACCCACAAATGCTTGTGAAAATATTTCCAGGATTGTGGATTCATGGTGGCGATGCCCAACGTGCCATCTCACCAGAATGTTGGTATTCTAATCTTAGCTAATTTCATTTGGAGATAAATCCAAGTTACATGTGTTAGGTTTGCGGATTGAACATTAAAGCCAAAGTTGGTGTTCAATGTACATCCAACTAATGATCTGAAACTCTGTCTGCCTCTAATGCACGTACTAAATTGCAATTATTTGATTCTATGCAAGTGAGTTTTGACATATGGCTAAACCAGTGAGCTTAGCCATTTGTCAAAAATCACTCCAAGCTTTGCTGATTGCATGGTCTAGGAGAGACAGCAAGTGATAGGATGAGCTCCATGGGATCAAAGATCTGGTGGATAAACCACTAACTCTTCCCCTAGTGCTGCCATATCTCACCCCCCTGCAATCCTGGCAACAGAAGAAATCTCACTTCATCACATGACCCCCCCCCCACCATCAGCTGCTTTGGAGGCTACTTTTAAAACTGGATATAGCATTCTTCTGAAGAGCATGAAACCTAGGTTTGCCACTCTTTCAGAAGAGCACCGAACCCATGTTTAAAAGTAGCCCAACAAAGAGCTGATAGATAGGTCAGGTGGTTTGAGTGGTGAGAGGGAGCATCACTACACTGAGGAATCACCCCCCCACCTCTGTGCAGCTTTGTTTAAACATGGGTGTAACCCTCTTTTAAAACAGCAGTAAATCTATATTCAAAGCAGCCCAAACTACAGCTGACAAATATAGTAGGGAGGTTTGTTTGTTTGTTTGTTTGTTTATGTATGTATTATTAAACTTGTATGCCCCCCATCTTCCCCAACGGGTGACTCTGGGCGGCTCACAATAACAAAAAAGGAAAAGGTTGTATCATGAAGTGCCATAGAGTTGGAACTCCTGTTTTAACTTCACAGTCTCTTTGGTCAACTACTACAGTTAACCTTGGTCCACTACTACAAGGCTGATCCAGGTCTCCAAGTGGGGGGGGGGGTCACCTGTTCAATAATAGGGAAAGCCTGGTTTGAAAGTTCTGGAATCTACTCAAATGAGAATGGCCCTAAAGGATAGTGCCAGGGTGGGGTGAGGAGTAGAAATGGCCACATCATTCTAAAGTGGACAATAGGTATAGGACTGATCCCAGTCACTGACTGTAACATGGATGAATTGATCAGTCAGTTGCATCAGGTTGTACCCATGGCAAAATTGCTATGGCTTGTTGCCTGCTAACACCAGAACAGCTATCGATGACTAAGCTGCTTCAAGTGTAGGTTGGGAATGAGATGAAGGTATTGTCACGAGAACATGGCAGAAAAGAAAAGAAAAGAAAAGAAAAGAAAAGAAAAGAAAAGAAAAGAAAAGAAAAGAAAAGAAAAGAAAAGAAAAGGTTGCTGGGGGGGAGTTGTTTGTGGTTAGGAACGAAGCCATAGTTAATATAACTTAATATTCTGTAAATGATGCCCACTAATATTTTATTTCCAGTTCTTCCCATCAGTCAAACTGGGAGGACAATCACCTAGCCAAAAGAAGAAGTGAGAAATTCTGTACAACATCTGACAGGTCAACATTTGCCTTAGTTTGTTAACATTGTGTGCTACCTCACTGACATTTTAGCCATAGTTTTAGATGTTGATCAATTTAATTTGTGCAAATATTCACATAAGCAGGAATTGCCTTTCACCTGAGTGAAGGAAAAACAAATAGCATTAAACCATTTGCTTTGGACACCCAAAAACTTGAAGAGTCCCAGAGTGACAGTGCAGTGGTGTTCCCTCTCACATTGTCTGTGCTGCCTTGTAAAGGGTTGGATTATATATGGTTTAAAGAAATAAATCTAGAGACTAATGATATTTTATACAATCATATTTGGGGGGAAAAGATAACAGTAAATGAACTTTTGGGATGGGCTATCAGCATTTGTGCAGATATGAAATATTGTTCTTTGAAAATGATTTGGCCTTTCAACAAAGCTATTACTTCAAAGGGGATAAAGCTATGTACAACAAAGAGGATATATGCAGACAGTGCTCATTTCTTGCATCAACCTTCCGAATCATCCACATATATTCATAAAGACCCCCACCTCTGAATATTTACATGGAGCCCAATTTCATTTCAGCCCATCTTTGATTTTCTGTGATATAATGCACCTTCCCCACAAGGACTGTTAGATGAGGTCCGCGTATTATGGTCTTCTTTTCTTAACCTTTGCTCTTTGGAAACTAGAGAGAGGCTTACTTCATTCTCCAGAAACTTATCCCTGGTAACTTTCTCTTTCCTGCATTTGCTTTTCCCCTTCCTATCATGATTCCTTCCCTTGCCCTCTTATTGCCCAATGACCCAGAAGGGAAGAGTTGCCTGGGCCCTTGAAGAGCTATTTAACCTATTTTCATCAAGGGGTCTCTCTGGCCATAGACTGACTCTTTGGTGGTTTCTTTTCCTTTAACAGGCTTAGCTTTCCTCCATTGTGCCTGATCACTGGGCAGAAATGCAGAAATTATTATCAAACCATCCCTTCTGACTGAGGCATATGTTTCCACACACACCCCCTTCTTTTCTTCTCTCTTCTTTGATGATAGATCTGGAGGAAAACTTGCACAGAGTGATGGGCAGTGCTGGCCAAGGTCTGGCTGCTCTGCCCCACAGCCGGGTCACCCTTCAGGATCCTGTGCTCTTTTCTGGCCTGGAGAAGCTACCTCTTGCTCAAGACCCTGACAGCCCAAGCTGGCGGTCCCTTGACAGCCCAAGCCCCCCTGCTACACCTGAGCAAAGCCTTCCCACCTTTTGCCTGCAGTACTTTAATATGCTCTACCCAGATGACAGCAATTGGGTCCCAAAGAGTTTGGGTGAAACTCACCAACACTGCAGTCAAGGAAGCAGGACAGAAGTGCCTAAGGAACCTGAGCAGTGCCCTATCATTGACAGTCAAGGATTGAGCCTTACCCCTGAGATGGATTATCAAGCCAGTCTTCACCTTGAGGAGCACTCCCTGGAACAGGTGCAAACAATGGTGGTGGGTGAAGTGCTCAAGGACATTGAAACAGCTTGTAAGCTGCTCAACATTGCCGCAGGTGAGTACCACAGCCCTGCTGTTCTTATCATATTTGGCACAACTTAGCCCACCAAAGGGAAATATTTATGTTGTAGCATGATAATGCACTGCAGAATTAGTCAGGCTGTTGTGGTCATTTGCCAACAACTGACAATATTCTTTGCCTACCATTGGTGGGTTTCAAACTCCTTTCAGATTACCACGTTATTTTTTTTTTCCAGCAAAAACAATGAAATGTTTTGCGGCACCTTTAAGACTAACCATTTTGTTATAAGATTCTATGAATCACAAAATGCATCTGGTAGAGTAGACAGTGATCTGAGTTAGCTTATGTGATGATAAATTCATCCGTCTTTAAGGCATTAGAAGATTCTTTGTTAGTATACCTTTTATCCTGACATTAGGAATATAAGCCCCTGTGTACTGGACTGGAGTTGATGTGAGTTAGGATCAAATAAACTTTCAGCCTTATTTATTTACTTGTTATACAATGATGTATAATATAACAGCTCTCTGAATTCATAGGCTGGTTTTTACAGACCAAGTATTCTCTCATGACAGTGGAAATCAAAAGGTTGGACAGAGATGGAGCAAAGAAGGGGGAAATGAAGGGGGAATGTGTGCATTCTGGTTGTTGCATTACCCACATAAAGGCACTGTCACTGGATTTTTCATTTAGATATGCTTTGCATATAACGGAAATCAGAGCTAGACTTCTCATGGAATACTCAATACTCTTTTAAGAGAAATGGCAGAGCTGTGATTAGAAAGGGCAAATCCT